AGTTCTTAGTAAATCCTTCATGGAAGTCCTTTATCAAACTTCGTCATATATTTATACTCTGAAACTAGTGATAACAGGATTGAGATCTTTTTAGGAAAGTATTGGCTTATCTAACGTAATAAGGAATAAATATCTAAGTTCTTTGCCCCTGTAGTTAACTCGTCTAAAAGTAGAGATATCTCGAGAGCCTCATTAACGATGTGTGGGGGATGGCACGGACACCACATTCTCCCCTTCCTAGAAAGATATGCCCTACTTCTGAGAAAAGGAAAATCAGCAAAACCTCAAAACTCAGTGTTTACGGTCGTCGTAACTGTTTGATATTTCGTTGAATCAATCCCTTCGGTGTTTGTAATTTAGCTACGGTCTTGTCCTTATTCCATTCCACTATCTCATACGGCCCTTTCCATTTGACGGCTAATTTAGATCCCTTCGACGCTTTGCAATACATCAATTCTCCTATACCAGGTGTATTCGTTGCGGGTTGTCTATCTCCCGTTTGGTCCCTGGCTAGGAGCCTCCTTTGGATCTGCTTAATCTTCTCCTCCACATTTATCTTGTGTTGGTCTGGATCAAGTGGATGATATCCATGCACTAGTTCAAACGGCGTACACGCAATGGTACGATGGTACGTTTGCTGCAAACGTTTCTCTGCCATCCTAATGCACTCACTAATGGAATGTGTTCGCTTGAAATGACTCAGCACAAATACTATCTCCTGGTTCAGCCGTTCCGATACCGAGTTCCCTGTCGGATTGTACGGACTAGTCCTTACGGACTTGGCTCCCTTCTCCCTCAGGAATTGCTGAGTTTCCTCTGCTACGTACTGCCGCCCTTGATCGTGCAAGACGGTTTGCGGGGTCCCGAATTGTTCAAACCACTTCTCCAATGCCTTGATAATTTGCTTCGATCCTAATCGATGTAATACTACTAATTGGGTCCAATGGCTGCATCGATCCGTTATGGTCAGGACATAAAACATGCGTGGCTTATAGCTTCCTTTAAACTCTCTTGTCATAAAAGGTCCTACTATATCTGAGCATATATGTTGCATTACTTCGGTCGTTTGCAATTGCCCCAGTTGATCTTCCCTCTTTGCCAGAGTTCTCCGTGGCTTATACTGTTGACACTTTGCACACGACTTGACCACTTGCTCCACAATATCCTTTAATCCTGCTATGCAATACAGACTTTCAATCGTCCTACCTAACTTCCGTTGTCCGGGATGAGCCAAGGCTTCATGTGCCGCTTTGACTATTTCCCGACCTTCACGCGGATCTACGCTACGCTTCTTTCGGGTTCCTTCCTGATTACCTACGGTTCCGGCCACTTTTTGCTCCACTCTCTTTTGGTGGTGCTCCTGATCTCCTTGATCTGGCTGGCTCTTACTAAACCTTTCATCCATAGTAGCCTCTCTCTGGTTTTCATTACCAAGTACATCGGAAATTACGCTTATATTATGCGTTACCGGTTGGCATTTGGTATCTAGGCCCTTATCCTTCTGTAGCTGGGACATAGCAACTAGCGGTGTTGCTGAAGTGTCTTTCGAAAGTATCTTTCGCGACAGAAAATCGGCCATACTATTGTTAACGCCCTTGATATACTTAAAAGTTAGATCGTACTCCTGGAGCTGAATCTTCCAACGTTCTGCTCTACTACTGTCCAGTGCTCGATAATAAAGTAGATTTTGGTGGTCGGTCTGCACTGTAATTTCGGACAGAAAGATTATGTTTTTGAAATGCTGTAACGCTTTTACCACCGCTAATAGTTCCTTCTCTTCCACTGTATAGTTTAGCTCCGATTTAGACAACGCACTACTATAGAGTCCTATTGGATTCTCCTCTTGGATCAATACTGCTCCCACACAGTAATTAGACGCATCGGTTAACAGTACGAACGGTTTGTTAACGTCCGGTATCGATAATAGGATCCGCTTGCGGATAATCTGCACTAGCTTTTGCAGTAACCGATCGTCTTCTGCTGTCCATATGATCTTGCCTTTTTCCTTGCGTTGATCCCCTTTCATCTTAGCTAGTAACGGTCTTAGCTCCTCACTCAGTTGTGGAATAAACGGTCGGTACCAGTTAAGTAATCCTATAATGCTCTCAATATCCTTCCGTGACTTTGGTGCTTTCACGCGCTCTAGCGCTTCTACCCTGTCCAGGCTCGGTTGGATTCCCTGTTCGCTTATTACGTGTCCTAGGTACGTCACTGACTTACAAAAGAAGTTGCTCTTCTCCACATTGATAATAACGTTGCGCGCCTGCATTAGCTGTATGATCTCGTTCAAGTGCTGAATATGCTCCTCTTCCGAATTTGAGAACACTAGAATGTCATCAAGGAAGACCTTCACGAACGGTAAGTGGCCCACTATATCAAAGATAATCATCTGGAAAACTCGTGGTGCGTTCTTGAGTCCAAATGGTACTCGCAAATACTCATACTGTCGGTTCTGAATAATAAAGGTTGTGAACTTGCGCGCTTTCTCTGCTACTTCCACCTGATGATAGCCCTGCCGTAGGTCCATCTGCGAAAACACCTTGCTTTTGGGGATCTCTCGAATAATGTCCATCATATTCGGAAACGGATATGCTTCTGGTCGCGTTACCTTGTTAATCGCTCGATAGTCTACGACCATCCTAACCTTGCCGTTGCGCTTCCTTATCACGAATGCTGGTGACGAATAGTACTTCGTTTTCGCTGGTCGGATACATCCTTCTTTCAATAATCTGTCGATCTCCTCCTTGACGGGTTCGAGCAGGCGCAGCGGTACCGCATACACCGGGCCGATAATGGGTTCAGACGTTGTTAGTTCAATCTCCATTCGAGCCTCTGTGATCGGTGGTTGCACTCCAACTATGTGTGCCTGCGCTGCGATCTTCCTCATTAACTCCTCGCGACTTAGCTTCTTGGGTTCGCCTTCCTGAATCGTACAGATCGAAAACACTTTCCTCAACGGATCGCAGTCTTCCGACTCCTCCTGGGTGTGCAACACGTGTCCTTCTACCAATAGAATCCTTTCCCAGGCCCACACTACTACTCGGTTGTCCGCTAGCCAGGTCATGCCTAACGTACAATCATTCTTAATGTGTGTCAACACGTAGAACGTTTCTCGGGACTTGTATGTCGGATGCTCCATTAGTGTTACCTCACCGACGACCTGCCCAAGCACAGCTGTGACACCATTCGCGGTGTCCATTGTGCGGCTTTTGCCCTCAGCGAGCGGCTGGATCGTCTTCTTATTACGGTCACACCATGCCTTGGAAACTACATTTACCGACGCTGCCGTGTCGATCTGGAACTTCACCGAGACGTTCTCCAACTTCCCTCTCAGATACGGGGCTTGTCCCGACGATTCTGGTTCCTGGATTACGTTTACGCTCTGCTGGTTCTTCACCTCTTCCGAAGCCTGTTTCTTTCCATTCCCTTTGGAGTATCCACCTTTCGCCTTCCGGTCTCTTGTTGCGTTGTTACTTCGGCAGTCACTGGTGTTATGCGAATTAGACTTATGGATGGAACAGTACCTTCGAGGCGCGTTTTGTCGCCGCCGCTCCGTATTACGTGGATTTCCTTGTTCCCGCGGATATTTCGTTCCGTTTCTCTCCTTAAACCTTTGGTCCTTGTCACCTTTCCGACCTCGTTCTTCTTGCACCTGTGCACCCAGCGCCACTAACGCGACAGCTTCCGCATCCTGTATAAACTCCACTGCGTCTTCCAGTGTTTGACAACGCTGCTTCTGCACCTTACTCCAGGTTACTGGGGATAGTCCATGCATGAAGTCTCGGAACAGTAACACCTTTCGCATCTCCTCTGTTAC